TCTTCCAGGATGACTCCGCCCGGAGCTACAGGACACGAGGACTCACTGAATGGTTTCATGAGGATGGAAATGGTGTCAATCATACGCTATTGCCTTCAGAGTCACTACATTACAACCCGACGTAACTCCTATCATCATGAAAACACCAGTCGGGGTGTTTTGGAAGGATGGTGTTTACTGCTCCAGTACTGCTCTGGAGAGTTGTAGAATTAATACAATCGAAGCTATTGGGGTGGCTCATGGTAGACCAAGAGCTTACTAAAATACATTATGTTGTTGTTTTTTTTTCCCCCCTGTAATTTGTCACCTGTCTGTATTTCCTATCCACATATTCATGAGGCAGAGTGGGAACTGACAGGTTGAAAAATGGGGTAACCCAACAAATGAATCAATTCATTCAGTGAGAAACCTCTATAACCAGGGCTAACACTGTGCTTGATCTTGCTTAGCGGTGCTTGTGTGCCCTTTTTTTTTTTTTTTTTTTAACTACATGAAATTGACTTGTACAGCCATATGTCACACAATTGAGAAACTGGCTGCTTCTCTCCCAATCTGTGCAGGGGATTTGTTCATTCTCCTTCTATTACTCTGGGCACCAAGAGGACAGATTGAATAATGAGATTCAGGGCAGAAAAAGACGAGAAGTTTTCACTGATACCACTCTCTCTCGAGCGTACACATATGCTCATGACGTCCTGAGAGTGCTGCAGGTCCGAACGCTGACGTCTGAGAACAGTCAGTGCGAGGTAAATTGGTGCGAAACATTTCATAAAACGCTGACAGCGTTTTAACAAGACCGCGGCAACTCTCTCAAGACGAATCTAAAGCACTATTCATGAATCTGAATCTGACAGATTAAGTTGCTACTAATACATGTATAATCTGTCCGAATAAACATGATGGCAAAGACTCTGACAAATCCTGTGATAAATGGAGAGTTAAAAAAGGTGTGTTAAGTGCTTTCTGAGATAGCTTCTGAAAATTGTTCAACGTGGAATCTGCCCTGCTAGGGTAACACGCTGTTTTAGGGTTCTACACCGAACATGGATTCCATCAAAGGGACAACCAAAGTATCCGTAACCCCTAGATACATACCTTCAATTCAATTCAGTGGCTTTCTTTCAGCAACAGAGATTGTCAGAAAGCAACGTTTACAGAAATCAGGATGTACAAATAGATCGCTCTGGTATTCTTCAATCGTTGTGCTTTGAAAGCTTTAACAATAATAATAATAATAATAATAAGAGGAAGAAGAAGAAGTGAAGCATAATAAAGGACATTTTATTACTCGATAAACTAGTTCTGAACTACGTTCTGTACTTTTTAGCTGTGGATCATAGGTTATAATGAACAAAATACACAACTATTACAAAGCTTTATTTCTATTACTATTATTTACCCTAGCGCTGCTGAATTCTGCATTCTGATTGGTCAGAAGCTTCTGATTAATCACAGGTTCATATTCCTGCACTCATTCTAATACAGTATCGCTTCTATAGCAGCAGCTCATTCGCGGGGACTTGTACGGCAGACGTAACACTAAAAGCTCGTGTAATTGTTGATGTGGTGAAGTTTTCTGCAAGATGTTTATTTAACATTAACAGAAGGAGTCTCCAGTGTCCATGCTTTGTGATAGTCTGAGGTAAAGCTGCAACATTAAAGGAGTCATATGATGCTTAAAAAAAATAATAATAATGGTAATCATTATTTTGTTTATTGGGTGTAATAGAATAGGTTCACATGCTTTACTGTGAATCAAATAACACATTATTTTTCATACATACTGTACATTATTGCAGTACATTCCCAGGCTGCTGCTCCGACTGAGTTCCGGTTTCTCCAAAGCTACTCTTTCTGAAAAGCCCAGGGTGCTCTGATTGGCCATCTGGATTGTGATTGGTCCAAAACCTCAAGCGTGTGTTGGAAATGTAATGCTCCTTATCTACTCTGTGCACTTTGCTTCCTCTGGTATTCAATGAATGGATCTTGTATAGTAGCACTACTTGTATTGTTCTCTGCTCCATATATAGCTTTGCTTATTTGTAAGTCGCTTTGGATAACAGCGTCTCACAAGTGAATAAATGTAAATGTAAATGTAACAATTCCCACAGTTGAATATCAAAACACAATAACTTTAGCTAGCACGTTAGCAGACAACTGATCCCTGGACCACAACACAAAACTCAGCATCTGAACAGTCAGTACTGGTTCCTAATTTTCAAAAGGGGGAAACACACAGCATGTTCACGACATGGCACTAACACTAACACAATTCACTGAAGCCTCCCTTGCCTTTGTGCAGGATTATTCCACTATTTCAAATTGTGACGTAGATGTTTGGAACAGGAAAACATTAAAAAGCATCATATGACCCCTTTAAGATTTCTGACGTCTTCAGGACAGAGGAGTTCACGTGTCCTAGTTTCTTGTTAACGTGGCAAGAAGTGTTTATTTTTTTTGTTTGTTTGTTTGTCTTATTAAATAAAATAAAATGTAAAACACAGAGAGAAAAAAATTAAATGTAAGTGAGAACAGGAACTAACTTGTTCCTCCGACGTTCCACAACATTAAAGTATGATGTGTTATGCTTTACTAAATAAAGATCTGGCAACCCTGATCATAGCACATACATCCTCACAAAGAGGATGAATAATGCCGTTTCTCCATTTCATACATAACTGGATTTCCCTTAGAGATTGCTCCGACACGTACATGCGTTAGTAAACGAGAATGGGAACAAACGAGAGACAAACTGTGAAAGAGAAATGCGGAGGATAGGCCAAAGCGTGATATGCAAGAGCTGGAGAAGGAAGACGAGAAAAGGTTAAACAAGGAATGAAATAGAGAGGAAAGTGGGACTAGTAGTGAGAATGCAGAAAGTGTAACACTGCCCCCTAGAGACACGATCACACACAGTCATGAAATCTGCATCGAGGTTCGTTTTTTTTTATTTATTATTATTTTATTATTTTATTTTACCCAAGCTAACCAGAAGCATTTTCCCATCTTTCAAATTCATAATAAAACCATGAACAGGTTCAACCTGTGAGCTCAAATCGGACGACGTGCAGAGCAGTGCATGCTGGGAGTGAGACGAGTCTGTAGCACTTCACAGCTGAATCTGTCCCTCCACTGATCGCTCTCTTGGGGCACTTTTTAAATATTACACAAGAACAGACCAACTTTAGTGCTGGATTTTTAGTGCTAATCACTTTTAACGACAATGAGAAATCCCTCTTCCTTACGCCACCTTCTTACCCTTACCTTTCAGAGCTAAATGAGTATTAATAAAATGAAGAATAAGTGCTCGTATTGAAGTTTCTGGATGTTTTACTTATTTTTTTTTAAAAGTTTTTGAAGCAACTTGACGATAATTCTTTCTATGCAAACTCAAATTAGCGTGCAGCAGTTGTACTGAAAACCTACCTAGCAAAGGCAGTGAAGAGTATATCTATGAATCAGATGTTACAAAAATAAAATAAATGAATAAATAATCATCCTCTCAGAAATCCTGTCAGGTTAGCTCATGTTAGCTAAACAGCTAAGTAAAGAAAATGATAAACATTTCTGAAAGTGACTTAAAGAAATCTCAAAAAGCCTGGGTTCACTCATGTTAGCCAGCTGATTAACGTCAGTAATTCGCTCATGTTGGCTTGATGGCTAATGGAAACAGCTAGTTCATGTAAGCCAGCATGCAAAAACTAGCAGTGAAGATTTATAAGTAGGACTCTCAAAACTCCTGTCAGATTAGTTGACGTTAGCTAGCTGGCTAAGGACTATTGAAATCCTAATAGAATTTGTAATGGTGTTAATAGTTATAATGGGAATTGTATTGGATTTGATGGACACTGTAATGGTCCCTGAGGGTCTCTACTGGTCATTTGTTGCCTTCTTGGTGGCATGTTATGTCTAGTGGACATTAAGGACCAATAATGGTAATGGTTAGCTGATGGCTTTCAATGGTTTTTCTACCAGTCGTTAGAATTCCTGTGATGGTTTCTATTGTTTGTTTGTTTGTTTGTTTTTCTCAGCAGGGTGACTAATGTTAGATTAGCTAATACTAGCAATAGTCGACAAAGATGGTTATTAAAACACTGTAGGTTTGAGCTTGTCTACCAGCTTCATTATTAAAAGAAACAAGAAAAATGATTAGCATAGAAGATATGAATGTGATTAAAATGTCTGTGATCCTCACGGAAATACTGCCAGATCAGCCGATCTTTTCTAGCTAGTTAAGATTAGGAGTGAGTATTACGTTCATATTATAACGTTGGCAAATATGACTAAATATTTAAAATACAGACTTATAAATGAAATGAACACTCATTTAACGGCAGTGTCTGAATCAAACTGGCACCCAGTTTAGCTCGTTGTTGCTAATAGCTATTAGAAGCTGTACGAAGCTCGAGCATAATAATGCAGGTGACCCAGTCTCTCCATCGCAGGCCTGCAGTGTGTGTGTTAAAACTGTAAAGCTGGCAATCCTAACCTAACCCAACCTGAGTTTCCTCTATCGTACACGGAGTTGTGTTTTGCTAATAGACAGCCCGAGGTCCCGCCCTGCGCAGTGTCACAGCAACTGATCGTATGAATATTTAATCTTCTGCCCACACAATCCTCCCAAAATGTACAAGGTAGAGAAAAGCTCCTACACTGCAGTACAGCGCTGAGGGGGTACGGGGCGTCCCATCCAGCTCTTTTATGTGAGTTTTGAAAAAAAATACGAATGAGGAAAGCTCAATTAACAACAGTTAAAAACACCCAAATGTCAGATCTAAAATAAATAAATAAATAGAGACGCACAAACTGGGTTTCCCTCACGAGTCTCAAACGTGCTTATTGTTTCGTTCTTTAAGCCAAGTGGCTTGTCGAGGAAATCTATTTTTATCCTAGTGTAAATTTCAGTGTTTATGAATGCTTATTGATTATTTATCTATACATATACGGAAGTGTTTTATTCCTCTTATACTACAGCAATTCACCAGCGCTTATGAGTCAAGGGCAGTGGTAGCTCAGCGGTTATGGTTTTTTGTCTACTGCGCTGAAGGTCATGAGTTCAAATCCCAGCCTTGTCAAGCTGTCACTGATGGGCCCTTGACTCTTAACCCTTCACCACTCAGATGTATAAATGAGATCGATGTAAGTCACTCTGGATAAGGGTAAATGTTTATTTATAAAACGATGTCATGAGTTTTATCCATTTATAGTTGCATTTAATGCTGAGAAATGTCTGTAGAAAAAAAAAAAAAAAAAGCTAGTTCTTGTTATCACTTGCACTACAGCAGCTGTAAACAGTCATTGTTCCCCCACTTAGTTACAGCTTTATCTCTGACTGGTCCAAAGCACTGAAACTGGAGACTCCATCCGTAAATGTTCCATAAATTCAAAGGATGGAGGGTGCTATGCGGTATGAGAGCGCAGATAAAACAGGGTGTTTTTTTTAAGGCGCATTTGCTTCCCCGTCAGAACCGAATATTTATAGTGTGCGTTTTGATTGAAATAATCGATATGTAAGTCACCAGACACACCAGACTCAGCTGTAAGACTGAAAAATGAACATCATCAGATTCATCCCATCCACCTTGGCTAGGAGGATCAATTTATTTAAAAATGTATCCATTTCAAAACAAACGCATACGTGCAGAGACGTTTATGTTGCACCGAAGTTGTTCCAGCTCTAAATTGCTATATTTCAAATGGTATATTTTGCTCATATCCGTTGGTCCATTGTTTCGGCTTTGTTCGGGTCTTGTTTCAATTATGCATAAGTAGGGCTGTGTAAATAAAAATTTGGCCACATCGATTCAATCACATTTAAGCTGTCAGCACACTTCATAGAGTATTCATAGAAAATGGATTCCCTAATTCATTTGTAAATAAAGGTCAACCATTAACCTCAACTGTTCATAACCTTACGTACGAGTTCAGTGGAAAGATTGGCAAAAGTGGCAGTGTGCTGCTAACAGGCCTGACACAGCGATGTTGTTGAATAGGAGGCATGAGGTGTTTTTTATGTATTTATTTATTTTTTTTAAATATTACAAATATGATATGACTGTCTTGTCTGATATTAAATGCAATGCATGTTTATGGAGTTATGGAATTCATTTCAAGGCCGGGATAAGGAAGAATGCTAAATAAAATCTCTGCATATCTGTACAGTTATAATAAAAAGTGTGACACGCTCGTACGTTTTGGGTTAGATAGCAGAAAGAAAGGGGGCGTGGCTTAACCCTGCTAACCCATTTATCTGCTATTTAGTGATGCAAATCCTAAAATCCCTCGATTTTCCCCCGCATCCGCTTCATCTCATTTCACACATTTTCTCAGTCTTAAATGCGGCATTCGCTTTGCTAAGTTGGTACAGCATTGTGACTCATCCAGCACTCACTTCCACAGCGTTGCTGAGAAGAAGTGAGAAGCAAGAAGAACGAACAAAAACACAGTCGTTCGATTTGGACGTCATGCTGCGCCGAAACACGACGGGGTCCCAATGGAGGGTGGATACAAGCGAAAATATTTGACAGAATACATTTGCTGGATCTGCAAAGACACCAAGAGCAACAGGAGGGTTTTTTTCCCATTCAGTTTTTTAAAAAGAAAATATGGCCATAATTGGGTATGATGCATTTTGGGGTAACAAAAATATTTGATAGAATACATTTGCTGGATCTGCAACAACACCAAGAACAACGGGAGGGTTTTTTTTTTTTTCTTCTTCGTTGTGGCCATAATTGGATATGATGTATTTTGGGGTAACACAATGTTTTTTCCTAGGAAGAAAAGACTACATGAATGGAGTTCATCTTAGCAATAAGGACTGTGTCAGGTGGGTCCTGATGAAATAATCCATGTGAGGAAGGACTGTGGTCTCAGGTAAGGGAACATAGACATTTCAATAAAGTACATCCATATCTATATGTCTATATATCTATATATCTATATATCTACATGTCAATATATAAACTTTAAAGTAAGATCGATCAAATCCGAGTTTCATTTGCTCTAAAAGGATATTTTTTTTTCAGCCATCGATCTACAGTTCCTTGGAAAATATTTTTATTTCGCACCATAGTTCTGTCAACACCGCTCTCGAGACAAGAAAATCAAAGCAGTACCTGACATTATAACGACTAACTTGCATTTTCATCATATGGTACACACACAACTGTCATGTCTGTGACATTTCATCCATAAAATACCTGCCAAATCAATCGCTGTCTCGCGGGTGCCCTCTGGGTGATGCTGGATGCGAGGACGCTCAGACATCGTTAGTGTCCGTCAGACCGTTTGGACACCTTATGGCAATGGGGAATTGGAAGCTTCTGGGTGACCGTTTGGTCTGAAAATTCAGACAAACCAAAGGGTGACATTTAGAATGATGAAACGTTGATGAGAGTAACCAAGGATGTGTGAGATGACAGAATCAAGGCTGTCTGAGGAGCAAGATGGATTGATGATGTGTCGAAGTGGGCCAAGGTTTCTGGATTCTTTCACTGTTTTCTTTAAGGCAAGATGGAAAGAAGGAAGAAGACCAGTTAAATGAATTTAGGTGAACAATCTTTATAAAATAATAATAATAATAATTTGCTTATACTGTTTGTTGCCATGGTTCTTGCTCACAACTACTGTACTCCAGACCCCAAACAGCATAAAGCGCTTCTGAAGATAAATGAATGAATGAAATATAGCTTGATCTCTTAAAGCCACGGTTCTTGAAGTGGGGTCCAGTGGCGTAAAAGTAGACATTTTTTTATTAACGGGGGGGGGGTGGGGATGGGGGGTATGGACGGGATGACAAATCTCATCATTATCAGAGTTATTAAATTTACTGATGTGTTTTTCTGTCTTCAATGAGTGGAACATTCATGAATAAAAAAATAAATAAATCTGTAGATTGAACAGCCCCAAAGGCTGAAATTGATTGGCTCTAGGCACTTTTTTCAGTAGGAAATTATATTTCAAACACATTCAAGAGCAAAATATAGACAATGAGCTCAAAATAGTGGAGGCTCAGTGGTTGAAGCATAGGGCTACTGATGAGAAGGTTGTGAGTTCAAATCACCAAACTGCTCTTGTCATGCCTGTAAGTAAGACTGCTAATCTCTCAAGTGCTCAGGTGTATATAGGAAAAGTGTTCATCAAATGTCTTGTTCTTGGCAGCGTTTTATTGAAAAAAAAAACATACCAGGATCTCTAGCGACGACCCTCCAGTTCATTTTTACTGTCAAATTAATGCTATCGTACAGTGTACAGTAAAGTTGCCTTGAGAGACGTTCTCTCGGCTTTTCTGTGAAGCTCCACGGCAGTGAATGAAACACAATACGGTTCATCACGAACCCTCATTAGATGCTTAGCTCAGAAATTCCAACATCTGAATCAGTCAGATGAAGCAAAGCGATGGTCGATGATGACACAGTGGTGCAGGGGTCACTGGGAAATGCTCGAGTTTCCTTTACGGACACGGTAACACCAGATTTTTCAGCCTCTCTCATAAACCTGCAAAGATAATGGGGAAAACACACACACAAACACATAGTGGAAAAATCTCAGCGTAATTTCAGTGATATAAATAATAGTCACGCGAAGCTCTGTGCCGCTATTACTAAAGTGAACGATTGTTGCTTTTATACACCGTGCCTTGTTTCATTTCTTTCCCAGGATTAAATGAAATTTATACCACAGTGTGGCTGAATTCTCTAAACTGAAAGTGTGCATTCATTTCTTATAAAAGCAGCTCTGACACTCGTTCCAGCTGTAACGTAAATGTTTATATGAATACACCCGTTCTAATACATGAATATTTCTATAGTACGAGGCCATTCACAGGGACGTGCACATAAACTAAGGCTAATAATAAACAGATTAAAAGACACATCGTCGTTTAACACAGAAAATCCTATAAACACTGTCTGTTGTTACCCAGATGAGGATGGGTTCCCTTCTGAGTCGGGTTCCTCTCAAGGTTTCTTCCTCTTGAAACATCTTAGGGAGTTTTTCCTTGCCACCGTCGCCACTCAGTGGCTTGCTCAGTTGGGATACATTCACACTTTTAATATTTGTACACCGTGTTGATATTTCTGTAAAGCTGCTTTGAGACAATGTCTATTGTAAAAAGCGCTACACAAATAAAATTGAACTGAATTGAATTGGATTTAAAGGTTGATGTCGAGATGGTTTCTGTTAGGAGATGTTTAAGTAACATTTATGGAAGGAGTCTCCAATGTCAGTGCCTTGTAACACTCAATAAGTTTCCAAACATGGGATAGTCTTATGCTTCCTGGTGTCTGTGTAAAATGGCATCCTGTTGTTTTGCTTGTTTGTGTGTGTGTGTGTGTGTGTGTGTGTGTGTTTTTGTTGGTGACGGAGGTGAGGAAAAACTCCCCGAGATGATATGAGGAAGAAACCCTGAGAGGAACCGGACTCAGAAGGGAACCCGTCCTCATCCGGGTCACGGCGGAGAGCGTGAAAGTAAGAGAAAGTTCAATATGACATCGAGTGTTTTATTCCTTAGATAAGCATCGGATCATTGTGTCCAGTTATACGTGAAATTCCAGTATCACACGGTAAAACTCGTCATAAAAATAAATAAATAAATATATAAATAAAAGTTACTTTTTAACATCAGGTCAAAAAGCCTCACAGGAGCTCGGCTTAAACCAAACACAAACTCATCACAATAACAATATGGAGAACGTGGAGAAATTGCTTCGATTTATTATTTATATATAAGACAGGAAATGACTTTCATTAAGTTTCACCTTAATCCTACAGTCCCTTGATAACCACAGGAATGAAACGCACTTAATCTGCGTGTTAGGTGCAGATGAGTCTCGCAGCTGTCGGCTTGTTGAAGTGCCGTCACGCATTTTTTTTTTGGTTTTTTTATGTCCTGCCCACAGGAGCTTAATAACCACTGCGCTAATAAGAAAGATGCCTGACTTTAGTTCCTTATTAGCGTTATGGTTTTGCCTCAAACAGATAGAGCTTGATTCATCATGCAGGGATTGAATGCTTTGGTGCCAGTTGATATAGAGGAAAATATTTCCCCGAGACGACATGAGTGTGTTGTGTT